GGGAGGCGGCGGATCGGCGGGGCGATGGGAGGGGGCGCCCCGAGCCGCCCCGGAGGCAGGCAGGTGCCCTCGGCTGGGAGAGAGCCGTCTCCCGGTGGCAGCGCCTGACTCCGGCCCTCTGCTGCCCCGTGGGGAGGCAGGTAGGTTCCGCGCCTCTCAGGCAGGCTCCACACGGCGTCTCGGTGCTTCAGCCCCCTTCCCTCGGGCCTAGGAGATAGTGAGCCTTTCCGAGAAGGGACGCGGTCGTTTTCATTTTCTTGTCTTGTGCAGCAATACACGTGCAGGTTTTACTGTACGCACACACATTCGCCTATGTGTAAACTGTGCGTGTATGCCATGTGCTAGATGAATGTGTATTTATGTTTTTATAAATAAAGTTGACATGTACATGCACACCTTGTTAAATATACCTGTGGCAGTTAGGATCTAAGGTCCGTGTCTTTCTTGCAATCTCACAGCATACCTGTAGGGCATACCACGGGTATTGAACTACCTTTGGAACTGAACTTTCACAGATTCCTGCCCTTCACAGTCCTGAGGGAAGCTTTTTTCTTATAGATTTATTTATTACAGACTTGCATGATAAGTAGAAGAGCCCTTATGATCTTTGTAGTTGTGAATAAGCTGTATTTGATAACAGAATACCTGGGTTTGCTTGATATGTATGTATGAAAAAATGCGTGTCTGCTGAATATTGGTCTCTACGTGGTCCATGGTGAGTCAGAATATATCCGTATCAAGTTGACAGCACCTCTTTATTTTCCAGCCTCTGTCTGTCTTTGCTCTGTTGGGTTCTGTCTTCAGTTGTTGTATGCAGCATGTGTTGGGAGGGAGGACTATCTGGAGGTCTCCCAGTTAGGGGAGCATCACTGCAGACCACACAGACTTTCATATTTCATCTCATGGTCCTTCAGCTTACAGTAGAAATATAAAATTGTCATCATGGAAATACTGGAGGCATATACCATGTTATTCACTGACTTAAATTATCCTTTTGCTTCCTCTCCTTTGCTTTTCTTTTTCTGTTCAGTTTAGCTTACATGTGCATGGTAGCAGAATCTTACATTGTGCAGCACCAAGTATAAATACAATACTAAGTTCTAGAGAATAGATTTGTTTTAGTTCATGGCCTTATTTTCACGTATGTATACAAATTCTCTGTTTATAAACAAAACTCTAGTACCCCAACTCTTCCAAAATACAGTTTTAGTCTTAGCTATACTATTTAATGTATTTTGTTACAGACTTTCCCTTTACTCAAGGGTTTTACACTGGGTTGTGTTGTGATTTAACCCTGTGGACAGCGCAGCCCCACGCAGCCATCTACTCACTTATCCCCAGTGGGATGGGGGAGAGAATTGGAAGGGTAATAAGTGTGAAAAGTCATGGATTGAGATAGAGACATTTTAGTAAGTAGAGCAAAACAGGTGATTTGTTCACCACTTTCCATCAGCAGGCTTAGCCATCTCCAGGAAAGCAAGGCTCCATCATGTGTAGTGGCTACTTGGGAATACAAACACCGTAACCCTGAACGTATCACCTTCCTCCTCCTTTCCGCCAGCTTTTGTTGCTGACCACAATGTCATATGGTATGGGTTGTCCCTTTGGTCAGTTGGGGTCAGCTGTCCTGGCTGTGTCCCCTCCCAGCCTCCTGCCCACTTCCAGCCCACTCGCTGTCAGGGCAGCTGGAGAATCAAGAGAAGGCCTTGATGCTGTGTAAGCAGTGCTCAGCAATAGCTAACACATCCCTGTGATATCGGCACTATTTGGGTCACAAGTCCAAAATGCAGCACCATATGAGCGGCTATGAAGAAAACTAACTCTATGCCAGCCAGAACCAGTACAGCCATGTATTAGCAGGAAGAGCAGTTTTCTTTAGTAACACAGTCCCCAAACAGTTACTAGACTGAGCACTCAGACTTTTAACAGTGCTATTTAGCCTTTATCAGAACAACAGGGTAGACAAGGGCCTGTGTTTTTGAGGTGGGATTTGGGGTGAATTTTCCCAAAAAAAAAGGACTGTCGATGTGTCACAGAGTGAGTTTGCACGTGTACCTCCCCAAGGGGTTCAGCAACTGGAAGAATCTCAGCTGTATTACAAAGATGGGTACATAAAAGCAGGTCCTGGCTGCAGTTTTTTGTATCTAATATGCTGGAAAGTGTTTGAAAAACTGATACATGCAGCCTGCCTTGAGCATGGGGAAAGAGTTGAATTACTGAAGTGCTTTGGATTACATTGGTTGCTGTCTGGTTAACTTAGAATGGTAAATGTTACCTTGTGTCTGTAAGGAGGAGGAAAAATCACTTACTTCACCTGTGTGCTAAGGCTCTGTATGACTGAAGTCTGTATGCACCTGTGTGCTAAGGCTCTGTGTGACAGGTCTGTATGTTTTAGTTACTGCACTTTTAAATTGTGTTGAGATCAATACATGTTAACTTATTTGTGGGAAGTCTTATATGGCCACCTGTAAGTTGTGATGGGTCTCAAACATTTTCATTCAGGAGTTGAGAGGTAATTGCAGGAAAACCAGTATTGTGCAATGTTGACAAACAAGTAAACTCTCTTTAGTATTGACCTCACAGCAGATGCAACTACTAGCAATGCCAGTGTTAATAGTGCAGACTCGAGGCAACAGGAAGATGACAGCAGCTTCTCACTGATAACCTGGAACATTGATGGGCTGGATCTAGGAAATCTAAAAGAACGAGCTAGCGGAATCTGTTCTTACCTGACACTGTAAGTGTGGCTTCATCTTTGTATTGTCATTTACCCAGCTTTAAAGGAGAAAGTGAGCTTCTTGTTTTAGACAAATCTTTGTGCCCAGATTATCTTAATGTTAGATGCAACAATCCAATCACTTTATAAATCTTAAATAGATGAGTAAAAGTTGATATACTGGTTGGAAGAGGTGTGAACCTATGCAGCATCCCAAAGGTTAGATGGCTATTTTAAAAAGCTTTTTTATAATGAGCAGTAGTGTTCAAGTTGCAGTCATATGTCAAGAGCATACTTCTATCCTGTACATGAGAGGAGAGTAAAACTGCAAGCAACTTGTTTGCCTTATTCCACTAGTATGAATAATTTCATGCTAGAGCAAACTGTTTGAAACAATAAAAAAGATTTTTTTAGTGAAATGTGAAAAGTGGCTCTCTTGCTGTTAATGTTACTTGTCTATCAAAAAAGAAAATGTGCAAGGTAAGATAAAAGCAATAGATTCTGTGATTACCTTTTATAGTTCCACCAGTGGAAGTCTCCCATGAATATATTTAAACAAATTAACAATTACCTGTTGATTAAATCGAGTAGCTTATCGGTGTAAATTAAATTATTTAAACAAGTGATAATTTAAATTCCTCTTAAAACAACAGAAGACCCTTAACTAAATCAAATTTCACTTGATTTGGTTAATCTGGGGTGACAATATTTTTCTTCTGTAAATAAGGCCTTAGGTTGGTCCTTCACCTGCTTAGAGCAGGACTATTCAGCAGTTAGCAAAAATAGGGACAGCTGTAAAGTCATGTCTAAATCAGCATTTTGAGGACTGCTGCCCCACGTGAACTGTTAACTGATTGCACAGCTCTAAGTAACAAAAGAGCTTGTCATCAATATTGGAGACAATGAATGGCAGGTTACCTGCGGGTGTCTGTTGTAAGGGAATGAGCTGGCAGTTGGAATCTCCTAGAGAACTTAGATTTTGCAGAACTTGTTCCAAAGCTGCTTTGCAGCTGCTTAAGTTGAATTCCTCATGTATGTAGTATATGAAGCCTGTGCAAATATTTGCAAGATCAAGATATAAGGAAGTCATGCATTTTATTACTATCCATAGTTCCATATCCATAATCTTTGTTTCCTCCCTTTTAACAATGGTGATGTGTCTGTGTGCTACTAAATATGATGGAGAGAGTTTTTTTCTTTTTTTAAAAAGCAGATTCTTACAATACGTAGGAAGAGGAGCACAAGGTGCATCTGAAATCCCTGACCCTGTTCCATTTGGCCTCAGAGTGTAACTGTACTGCCTTTTAGTAGTTAATTCAAAAGCTTGTCTTGCCTATTTCAGATACAGTCCAGATGTTGTGTTTTTACAAGAGGTCATCCCCCCACATCTCTGTCTTCTACAGATGAGAGCAGGCAGTTACACTATTATTCCAGGTAAGAAATAACCCTCAGTTTCTAAAGACAGAAACTGGAAAAAGTTTTGGGTTTAGTCTGTCTTCCTTGCCAAAATCTATGACCATTTGTAGGAATGAAAAGGGTAAAGTGACAAAGGAGGCACTGAACTCACTTTCTGTGTTTTGATACCAGGATATAGTTTGATGCAAATTATCATGTGAAAAGCTTGCTTGCCTGGTGGTTTCCTTTGTATTTTTTGAAAGACTGATAGCAAAGGTAGCCAGAAAACTGCCAGAGATGAGTAATTTCTTAAATATTTGCCTTTAAAAAATTCTCTTAGATAATGTTAAAAAGGCCTCTTTCAGAACCTTAACTTCTTTGTGGCATGGCAGAAGCTATCCTTGACCATTTCTTTTCCTGTTCCTCTTTAGGTAACATAGATGGCTATTTCACTGTCATAATGTTGAAAAAATCAAGAGTGAAGCTACTGAAACATGAGATAATACCTTTTCCAACAACCTCCATGATGAGGAACCTTTTGGTTGTGCATGTG